ATGTATGGATTGTGATAAGAGTTGTACAAGCCCCTAATAAAAATGATTTGGAAAAAAAAAAAAAGAATCAGTCCTCAGAACCATCTGTGCCATCACCTACATTTCCAATATGTGTTAGTCCAGGTAGACTAGAGAAATAAATCCTGAGATACTCATACATATGTGAGAGAAAGCTTTATAGCAAAGAGTAATTGTATATTAAGAAAACATCCCAGCCCAGTCTAGATCAAGTCTATAAGTACGATATCAGACTCACACAGCACATGCAATGATGCCGAATGCAAGAAGATCACAGGTCAATGGGTGAAAAGTCTTGTAGATCCAATACTGGTGGAAGCACCTCAGCATGGGCACAGGTCTCCACAGGGCTCCTCAACAGGAAAGTGAGGCAGAAAGATAGAGTTCCCCGCCTCTTCTGATGACAGAATGGAGTGGAAGCTCCCAGAATCCTCATTCTGGGAGGCCACACCCACAAAGAAGCATCATTGGCTATGACCTTATTAACAGGCTAGACTCCACACCATCATAAGACCCTCAAGTTGACATGAGATCGTGTAACTCCCATACCACATAAGGAAGGTGAGGCACAGAGAAGGGAAGTACGGTAAGTTGTGTTAGGTCATACGGTGTGTTGTGAGCAGTGTGGTCTTGGAAGAATAGACCCAGAGCTAGGTCCCCTTTCCTCCTGACAGTGCTGCATTCATACCCCAATCGTCTCGATCTCCCAGGTAGACTGCCACTTTCCTACAGGAAAGACTTTTGTCTTTATGGCACTGTCATTTACCAGAAGCCTTCTTAGTCTTGTCTTCAGGAGCCCTGGTGGTGTAGTGTTCTGAATTGGCCCACTAACAACAAGATCAGCAGTTCAAACTCACCAGCTGCCCCTCAGGAGAACGATGAGGCTTTCTGTAAAGATTTACAGCTTCTAAATCCAAAATTCTATTCTGACCCATAGGGTGGCTAGGAGTCATAATTGAGGTTGGTTGTGTTTACTTTGCCTGTATGATTTATAGTTGTCAATGAAGACAACAGGTTTTAAATGTGTTGATGCTGATAAAGCTGTTAATTCCTTGAGTCTGCTCCACCTGTTTCCTCCTACTTTCAGCCCTTCCATTGACTTGCTGTGTGCCCTTGGGCAAATCCCCGTCTTCCTCTGAGTCTCCGTTTCCTTGTCTAGTGAAGTGGAGAATCAGAACGGATGGTCTCTTGGAGCCCAGCAAGCTCCAAATCTCTGTTCTTGTTAAGTGCCTGAAAGTTGGTTCCAACTGAGGGTGACCCTGTGTCCACAGCAGAACAAATATGGTCCAAATAAGTGGCAGCCACTGTAACATCCTGATGATTTAGAAGTCTTTATTCAGTTAAAACTGGACTGCTAGAATCTACAAGCGATTCTTTGATTG